TAGGGTGATCAGGTCAGTAGGGGAGCAGTTAGGGGAATCAGGCAGGCAGACAGGTGAGCAGTTAGGAGCCAGTGGTTCCAGATTGTGAGAGGGATCTCTGATTTGAGAGGGTGCGGGCCTCCCCCTGTGCACGAATTTCATGCAGTGGGCCTCTAGTCTAGATATATAAAAGGCTAATATGCTAAGTGTCCCTCTGCCCATCCTACCTGTCACTATGACCAGCAGGGGGAAGATGCTCAATGCAGGAGCTGCTGTGATGCGCATTGGCCATTTATAGAGAAATGGCACCACAGACCTGGTGCCAAAAAAAGCAACACTCAGCTTCTCCCAAGTGGGACACAGGCCCCACCGCCACCCCTGAACAACACCCTACCAAGTCCCAGCCAATGCTGTGGAGACCCCATTGTACAAAATGTGGCCCACAGCCCAGCCCAGCCCCAAAACAGTAGCTGTGGGCCCCGGGTAATGACATCACATAGCAATTCCTGGCTTCCTCTCCCTAGAAACAACTAGCCTCCTTGCAGTTTCTTCAGCCCAGGAACACGACTTTCTTTATAGCCAGGTGGAAATATTTCACATTTTATTTATTTATTTTTTATTTATTTTTTTATTGTTTTATATTTTATTGATTTTTTACAGAGAGGAAGGGAGAGAGATAGAGTTAGAAACACATCGATGAGAAACATCGACCAGCTGCCTCCTGCACATCTCCCACTGGAGATGCGCCCGCAACCCAGGTACATGCCCTTGAACGGAATCGAACCTGAGACCCCTCAGTCCACAGGCCGACGCTCTATCCACTGAGCCAAACCGGTTTCGGCTATTAATTACATTTTATATGTGATGTCTTCAGACTGTAAAAATCAGTATTCACTAAAGGTGTGAATAGCTTCCCCATATGTGGTTGATACATAGGTACTACAGTCACATTACTTGAGAGGTTATTTTATTTAGGCAGTTATTCTTTCCTTGTTTTTTTTTTTTTTTTTTTCTTTTCCCCTCTATTTCAG